AAGAAGACAAAAAGGTTTCTGGAGAATGCCTTTCAGATGCGCGGATCCTACGACGTAGCTGTAGTCCAGTCCATCTCTTCCACCTCTCTCCAGTTCCCAAAAGAAATAAGTTAAACTATTGACTATGGCTATTGTTTATTACTGAAAGGCAAGGTACTCTCGTTGATGTTATTTATTTATTTCCATATTTCAGTCACCGGATCAACGCCTTCAAGTGGAAAACCGGTGATTTTTTCGAGCAAAATACCCGATCCACTCCGTCCGTCCCTTTTTTTTTTTTAAACTTATTATAACAGTTAGTATTGTTGTCTTCGATCATGCAAATCATACCCGCAAGAAAAGGAGTACAATGGGTAATGATCAGTTTTCACGCACAGATAGCTTACTGTTTAATTTAAAGATAGAAGCTTCAGTTTTACTCGATCTTGTGATACAAATCCAACCGTTCCAAAGGGGATGAACACTGAAACCTGACGTCTCGGTTAAACAGGGTGAGATGTTTTATTTTTGCATGCTAAAATCCATCATTGGTTATAAAAGCGTGAAACCAAAATACAGTCACTCAGTATTTTAGCAATTTTGGCTTCGATCATGCAAATCACACCCGCTAAAAAATGAAAAGTTCACGTAGACAATGAGCCGATAATTACCCAAAGATAGCTTACCGTTTTAAAGAGAGAAAGTTAGTTAGGTTGTACTGTGATCAATCTTGTGATGAAAATCAAACATTTCAAAGGGGTAAACACTAAAGCCTGACATTTCCTTAAAAAAGAATAACACTTTCCATTTTTCATGTTTAATTACATCATGAACGATAAAAGTGTGCTGTGTGACGTACAAAACCGAAATACTGCGTAATTAATGATAAGGGAATAACCTAAAACACAAGTGATCTGGATACCCAAAACACTGTGATAGCGGAAGTTTGGAAGGTTGGGAAAAGTCCCGAGTGTAATTCATTTATTTTGTTATTTCATTTTTAAGCATGAGCCACATCGTCAACATCTTGGTAAGTGCGATTGAAAATCTTTTCTAGCCACTCGGTTTTTATTAGCTTTAGTTATTTAATAACTGTAGAGAGGTAAGGCTCTTATGCAAAGCCCAGTAGCTGCTTTTTCGAGCTTTGTGTTCGCAATATGTAGTTATGTCTCGTTTCGAGCGTTCGCCCTTCATTAAAGCTGTTGATGGCGCGATTCAATCGCCAACACAGTGAAATAAATTCTTTATTCAGCGGTTTTCGCAAATCTCTGTGGATTTATACCGTATAATTAATCCTCATTAACTAATGTTATTAAATATCGTTCAATTTGAGAAATTGATGATCATAAAACTAAAATCAGACCTCTATTTATGTTGTGGACCGTCCCTCGCTGAAGGAAGTCCATGGTGCTTCATTACGTGGTTTTCCAGTGGCTTTGATCTGCATTAGCTATTAACTTGACTCTGTTTTAGGAGGGTTGAACGAACGATTCAGAGATCGCGCTAGATTCGAATTGAATTTCCGTTTTCTACTTATACACAAGCGTTTCATGGTCGAAATACCCTTACTTAAATCTTTGGATTCTAGTGGCGGGTTCTACAAATCTTTTTCAAGGGCGTAATCTGTTTCTTTATCTGTTTAAGCGCCAGAGTCTCGCAGAAGAAGATAAGTCATGACGATGCGCGCTCACGAAGAGAGACGTTTTAATTTTCTTAGAGAGACTGAATTTCTTAAATTCACTTTTTTGACATACATAGTATAAGCGTACTTTCCCGTTGAACGGATGCTTCATATTTCCACCGTTAAATTACTTTCTTCAAACCTTTATGGTTTTATACAATATATTTCAACCTCATAAGCTATGCTTGTTAAGTATTGTTTAATTTGAGAAACGGATGATTTCCTCAATCATGTGATCAAAAACTAAAATGAATCCTATATCAAGATATATTTAAAATGCCGACTGTCTTTACTAATGTCAGAGGATATTCGCGGTGTTATAGTTCGTGGTTTTCCAGTGTCTATAATTTTCGTTAGTAATTCACGTGACCATGTTTGCTTTTTGTGAAAGTACTAAGGTCTCGCATAAGAAGATAGGTCAGTCTATGACACCGAGTGCTCACGAAGAAAGATGTTATAATTCTCTGTGAGGAACTGGAAAAAGCGTAACTGATCACTGCGCTTACTTTTCAGATGTAATTAGTTTACGAAGCCTAGCCGTTAAATTGGTCAAGAAGTATTGTTGGGCTTTCAAATGAACTCAAACAACATTCGCTCTGAAATCTAAATGTTTTGTCATTGCTATTTCACGAACTCATAATTAAATCCTTTCATAAATGTGGGAGAAGAGAGATTTCAATCTTTTTGCTTCAACACGTTATCAGGCTACTGGTAAAATGACAACCAAAACATTTCTCTATCTCTTAAACGGTCAAAAACGTGCAGAACAGTATATTGTGGTTTTAAAATTAATCAAGATGTTTTCAAGGGAAAAGTGGCAAATGTTTTTCATTGTTTTTGTCGTTTTACTTTCGTAAGTATCAACTGCGACATCGGTAATTTTGTATTGCTTTTTTTAGAGTAACTATACCGTAACTTGAGGTTTAACTTATAAGGTTACTTGTGGTATGAGTAACGTTTTAATTGCAAAGGCGCGGCTTAAAATGATTGCTAATTTGTCCTGTCCTGTCCTGGTACTATTAAGTCATGACATGTTCTGCAAAAATTGGCACCGAAGTGAAATGAATTCGTCGCAAAGCATCGTGGCCTCACAAATTGTTTATCATTCTCATCAGCCAAGAATAGATTCATTTCAGTGACATCAGTCATCTGAGAAGTAAGCTCGTTACTTGGTAACAGCCTGCTGAAACAATATTTTGCTACAACTCATGAAATATTGATAACCGTTAGTCGTTAAATGGCCAAAATTTTAACCGTTAGCCGTAAAAGCCATCAGCCCATTGATACCCTCCTTCTACTACCGTGAGCCCATAATTCTCAAATGCGACTTGTTTGGCTTTGACAGTTTAGCCTTGAAAAATGAAATTTTCCTGAATTTGGAGAAATCAGGTAATGCTAACATCAATACTAAATTTAAGCGGGAAACAAGCTTGTCAAGCTTGTTTGTTATTTTTTCCGGATACAATGAAGAACCTTAGTAACATATAATTGTTATCATTCAAATAATTGCTCGGTGTTAGTGCCCTTTCGGGAAAAAAATGTTAAATCAGCGCGAATTGCCGTTGGGAGTTTTCAGGAGAGTGCCTACTGGATGCGGGGATCCTACAACGTAACTGTAGTCCAGTCCATTTCCCTCACCTCTCTCCCCTCCTCAAAAGAAATATGAATAAGTATTTGCAATAACTATTGATTATTACTGAGAGTCAAGCTACCTCTCTCTCTCTCTCTCTCTCTAATGTAATTTGCTTGTTGCCATATTTTAGTCACTGGATTAACGCCCTTAAACGTAAAACCAGTGATGTGGTTAATTTCGAACAAATCACCGATCCACTCCGTCCGTTTTTTTTTTTATTATTATTATTTTTTTTTTTTTTTACTATAACAGTTAGTATTTTTGTCTCCGGTCATGCAAATCACACCCGCAAGAAAATGAAAAGTTCATGAGTACAATGGATGAATTCCCCACACAAGAAGCTTACTGTTTAAAGACAGAAGCTTTAGTTGTACTCTCGATCTGATCGATCTCGTGTTACAAATCCAACCGGTCCAAAATGGATGAACACTGAAGCCTGACGTTTCCTGTTAAACAGAGCAATATTTTTCATTTTTGGATGCTAAAATCCATCATTAGTTAGAAAAGTGTGACGTGCCAAACCGAAATACAGTCACTCAGCTTTTTTTTAGTATTTTTGGCTTCGATTATGCAAATCACACACGCTAGAGAAATGAAAAGTTCACGAATTCGTGAAGACAATGAGTCGATTATCAAGCAAAGATAGCTTACGGTTTAAAGAGAGTAACTTATTTAGGTTGTACTGTGATCGATCTTGTGATGAAATTCAAACATTTCAAAGGGGTAAACACTAAAGTCTGACATTCCCTATTCAAGAGTTGAGAAAAGTCCCCACTGTAATTCGTTATTTTTGTAGTTTCATTTTCAAAGCATCAGCCACATCGTCAATATCTTGTTACGTGCCATTGATCTGAAAATCTTTTTTGGTCACTTGGTTTTTATCAGCTATCGTTATTTAGTAACTGTAGAGAGGTAAGGCTCTTATGGAAAAGCCCAGTAAATGCTTTTTCGGTCCTTGTTTTTGCAATATGTAATTGTCTCGTTTCGAACGTTAGCCCGTCATTAAAGCGGTTGATGGCGCGATTGAATCGCCATCACAGGGAAATAACTTCTTTCTGCGAAGACTATTTCAAATCTCTGTGACTTCATACCGTATAATTTATCCTCATTAACTAAGGTTATTGAGTATCGTTCAATTTGAGAAATGATGTGATGATCGTGAAACTAAATTCAGACCTGTATTTATGTTGTGGACTGTCCCTCGCTGGACAAAATCCGTGAAAATCCGCTTCATTATGTGGTTTTCCAGTGGCTATGATCGGCATCAGCTATTAACTTGACTTTGTTTTGGAAGAGCTCAACGAACGATGGCACGACCCCCCGACACACGACCATCAGTCAAACTCAAGCGCGAGTCTTTGTTTTTTTTTTACTTGATAAGATGAACAAACGAAACAGCTAGATCAAAAATCGCTTGGATAACAGTTGACTTTCACCGAATGTGATCCGTTGATGTGCTCTAGTTGTACTTATCACGCGTCTTCTTCACCTATTATTATTATTTTTAATTCGATATTATGAATTCTAACACTTTCAGCTCGTTACAAAAAGTTTCCAGCCCGTTTTGGTAACTTCACATATGGGTTCCTGTTTGCAGTGACTCAATGTGAATCCAGATTATTGAGTTATTCTGTTAACTTTTGTTATTAAAATAATGTTTTCCTTATAACAGGAGAGGATGGCAATGGAAACCTAACGGCAGAAGCCATGATAGCTTTCATAAACATCGCCTTTCTAGTTGCTCTGTTCCTGCTCAACTCAGATCGCACTCAGAAAGCCATTGAGATATGCAGCGAATGTTTGATTTTGCTAAATGGCACCGATCAAAACAGCAAAGACCTATTTAATTCACTACTGCTGCAATTTTACAGCGCCTTCAATTTACTTCTTTTCAGCGCTTATTGTCTTATCTCTGACCATAAAAGTGCGGAAAGATACGGCAGGAAACTGCTTGTCTTATACAGCGAGTCTGGTGACTTAGTAAAAGAAGGAAATGTAAGCTTAGCTCTAGCAGAAATAGTTGAGGGTCAAAACAGGTTTACAAATGCCAAACAACTTTACAAAAAAGCACTTAATATTAAGAGACAAACTGGTGAACAAATTGGCGAAGCAAGAGCCTTCGCAAGATTCGGAATTGTGCTTTATAAACTTGGCGAGAACCTAAAAGCGAAGGAGTATGTTGAGAGGGCCCTTGCCATAGCAACCGAAATTGGCGACAAAGAGGGAGAAGCATCCTGTTGCGAAAACCTGGGAGCATTGCTTCATTCGCGCGGGGAATGCGACACGGCTAAACAGTATCTCCAAAGAGCGATTGTCATCAGAACTGAAATTGGCGACAGAGAAGTAGAGGCAACTGACTACGGATCTCTTGGTTCTGTGTTTCAGTCGCTCGGGCAATACCACAAGGCTAAAGAGTATCTCCAAAAAGCGCTTGTCATCAAATCCGAAATCGGCGATAGAAAAGGAGAAGCATCATATTATGGAAACCTTAGAACTGTGTTTCACTCTCTTGGGCAATGCAACAAAGCTAAAGAACATCTCCAAAAAACGCTTGTCATCAAATCTGAAATTGGCGACAGAGATGGAGAGGCAACTGTCAACAGAAACCTAGGTACTGTGTTTCACTCTCTCGGGCAACACGACAAGGCTATAGAGCATCTCCAAAAAGCGATTGTCAGCAAATCTAAAATTGGCGACAGACAAGGAGAAGCATCATGTTATGGAAACCTCAGAACTGTGTTTCAGTCGCTCGGGCAATGCAACAAGGCTATAGAGCACCTCCAAAAAGCGATTGTCATCACAACTGAAATTGGCGACAGAGAGGGAGAGGCAACTGTCTACGTAAACCTAGGAACTGTGTTTCAGTCGCTCGGGCAATGCGACAAGGCTATAGAGCATCTCCAAAAAGCGCTTGTTATCAAATCCGAAACTGGCGACAGAGAAGGACAGGCAACTGACTACGGAAACCTAGGTGCTGTGTTTCAGTCTCTCGGGGAATACGACAAGGCTATAGAGCATCTCCAAAAAGCGCTTGTCATCAGAACTGAAATTGGCGACAGGGAAGGAGAGGCAACTGACTATGGAAACCTAGGAACCGTGTTTCTCTCTCTCGAGCAGTACGACCAGGCGACAGAGTATCTCCAAAAAGCGCTTGTAATCAAATCTGAAATTGGCGACAAAAAGGGAGAAGCATTATGTTATGAAAACCTAGGATCTGTGTTTCAGTCGCTCGGGCAATGCGACAAGGCTATAGAGAATCTCCAAAAAGCGATTGTCATCAAATCTGAAATTGGCGACAGAAAAGGAGAAGCATCATGTTATGGAAACCTAGGAACTGCGTTTCACTCTCTCAGGCAGTACGACAAGGCTAAAGAATGTATTCAAAAAGAGCTTGCCATCAGAACTGAAATTGGCGACAGAAAAGGAGAGGCAAATGAATACAGAAACCTAGGAACTGTGTTTCACTCTCTCGGGCAACGCGAAAAGGCATTAGAGCTTCTCCAAAAAGCGCTTGTCATCAGAACTGAAATTGGCAACAGAGAAGGAGAGGCCGTTGATTACGGAATCCTAGGAACTGTGTTCTGCTCTCTCGGGCAACATGACAAGGCTATAGAGTATCTCCAAAAAGCGCTTGTCATCAAATCTGAAATTGGCGACAAAAAGGGAGAAGCATCATGTTATGAAAACCTAGGATCTGTGTTTCAGTCGCTCGGGCAATGCAACAAAGGAGAAGCATCATGTTATGGAAACCTAGTAACTGCGTTTCACTCTCTCAGGCAATACGACAAGGCTAAAGAGTGTCTTCAAAAAGCGCTTGCCATCAGAACTGAAATTGGCGACAGAAAAGGAGAGGCAAATGACTACGGAATCCTAGGAACTGTGCTCTACTCTCTCGGGCAACATGACAAGGCTATAGAGTATCTCCAAAAAGCGCTTGTTATCAAAGCTGAAAATTGCGACAAAAAGGGAGAAGCATCATGTTATGAAAACCTAGGATCTGTGTTTCAGTCACTCGGGCTATGCGACAAGGCTATGGAGTATCTCCAAAAAGCGATTGTCATCACAACTGAAATTGGCGACAGAAAAGGAGAAGCATCATGCTATGGAAGCCTAGGTACTGTGTTTAAGTCGCTCGGGCAGTACGACAAGGCTAAAGAGTATCTCCAAAAAGCGCTTGTCATCTCAACTGAAATTGGCGACAGAAAAGGAGAGTCAACTAACTATGGAGACCTAGGTACTGTGTTTCAGTTGCTCGGGCAATACAAAAACGCTAAAAAGCATTTCCAAATAGCGCTTGTAATTAAATCTGAAATTGGCGACAAAAAGGGAGAAGCATCATGTTATGAAAACCTAGGATCTGTGTTTCAGTCGCTCGGGCAATGCAACAAAGGAGAAGCATCATGTTATGGAAACCTAGGAACTGCGTTTCACTCTCTCAGGCAATACGACAAGGCTAAAGAGTGTCTTCAAAAAGCGCTTGCCATCAGAACTGAAATTGGCGACAGAAAAGGAGAGGCAAATGACTACGGAATCCTAGGAACTGTGCTCTACTCTCTCGGGCAACATGACAAGGCTATAGAGTATCTCCAAAAAGCGCTTGTCATCAAATCTGAAATTGGCGACAAAAAGGGAGAAGCATCATGTTGTGAAAACCTAGGATCTGTGTTTCAGTCGCTCGGGCTATGCGACAAGGCTATGGAGTATCTCCAAAAAGCGATTGTCATCACAACTGAAATTGGCGACAGAAAAGGAGAAGCAATATGTTATGGAAAGCTAGGAGCTGTAACGCACTCTCTCGGGCAATGCGACAAGGCTATGCAGTATTTCCAAAAAGCACTTGCCATCACAACTGAAATTAGCGACAGAGATGGAGAGGCATTTTGCTACGAAAACCTAGGTATTGTGTTTTGCTCCCTCGGGCATTACGACAAGGCTAAAGAGTATCTCGAAAAAGCGCTTCTCATTGCAACTACAATTGGCAACAGAGAAAGAGAAGCATTATGTTATGGAAGCCTAGGTACTGTTTTTAAGTTGCTCAGGCGATACAACAAGGCTAAAGAGTATCTCCAAAAAGCGCTTGTCATCGCAACTGAACTTGGCGACAGAAAAGGAAAAGCATCATTTTATAATAACCTGGGTACTGTGTTCGAGTCTCTCGGGCAATACGACAAGGCTATAGAACATCTCCAAAACGCGCTTGTCATCACAGCTAAAATTGGTGACAAAAAAGGAGAAGCATCATGTTATGGAAGCCTAGGTACTGTGTTTAACAAGTCTAAAGCTCTCCAAAAAGCGCTTGTCACTCAACTGAACTACGACAAGGCTAAAGAGGTACTGTGTTTAAGTCGCTCCTGCAGTACGACAAGGCTAAAGAGTATCTCCAAAAAGCGCTTGTCATCTCAACTGAACTTGGCGACAGAAAAGGAGAAGCATCATGTTATGGAAGCCTAGGTTCTCTGTTTAAGTCGCTCGGGCAGTACGACAAGGCTAAAGAGTATCTCCAAAAAGCGCTTGTCATCACAACTAAAATTGGTGACAGAAGAGGAGAAGCAATATATTATGGAAACTTAGGTACTGTATTTCACTCTCTTGGGCAAGGCAACAAGGCTAAAGAGTATCTCCAAAACTCGCTTGTCATCAAATCTGAAATTGGCGACAGAGAAGGAGAGGCAACTGTCAACGGAAACCTAGGTGCTGTTTTTCACTCTCTCGGGCAATGCGACAAGGCTATAGAGCATCTCCAAAAAGCGCTTGTTATCACAACTGAGATTGGCGACAGAAAAGGAGAAGCATCAAGTTATGGAAACCTAGGTGTTGTGTTTTGGTGTCGCTGTCAATATGGCAAGGCTAAAGAGCATCTCCAAAAAGCGCTTGTCATTAGAACTGAAATTGGCGACAGGAAAGGAGAGGCAACTGACTGTGGAAACCTTGGTGCCGTGTTTCATAACCTCTGGCAATACGACCAGGCTAAAGAACATCTCCAGAGAGCACTTTTCATCACAACTGAAATTGGAGACAGAAAAGGAGAGGCAGCTCACTACGGTAGCTTAGGTAACGTGTTTGGGTCTCTCGGGCAATACGACAAGGCTATAGAGCATCTCCAAAACGCGCTTGTCATCACAGCTAAAATTGGTGACAAAAAAGGAGAAGCATCATGCTATGGAAGCCTAGGTACTGTGTTTAAGTCGCTCGGGCAGTACGACAAGGCTAAAGAGTATCTCCAAAAAGCGCTTGTCATCTCAACTGAAATTGGCGACAGAAAAGGAGAGGCAACTAACTATGGAGACCTAGGTACTGTGTTTCAGTTGCTCGGGCAATACAAAAACGCTAAAAAGCATTTCCAAAGAGCGCTTACTATCAGTACTGAAATTGGTGATAAGCAATGGGAAGCAGCAGATCTTGCAAACCTTGGATTTGTGTCTAGAACTGTTGGAGATTATGAAGCTTCAGAAGTATGCTTGGTGAAAGCCTTATCCATATCCAGAAATATTGGAGACAGACGAAGCGAGTTCCAAATCCTTCGAGAATGCGCCATTTTGTATTTACTTCAAAATAAAATCAGAGACTCCCTTTCGTGTCTTCAACTGTGCATTGAAAAATATGAGGAGCTAAGACATTTGTTGGGCGCCAATGATGAGTTCAAAACATCATTTCTGGAGGCTTCAGGAATATTTCCCTACAAGCTGCTTTGTAGTTTGCTTTGTGTCACCAGAAAAATTCGTGATGCTCTTTATGTTGAGGAGTTGGGTCGAGCTAGAGGCCTCTCAGACTTGATGGCAGAAAAGTACTCGGTTCAAACGCACATTTCTGCTGATCCACAATCTTGGTTTGACATTGAGAACATTTTTAGAAAGGAAAATAACTGCACTTGTCTGTACATTTCTTATTTTCACGATCATCTGCGTTTGTGGATTTTGAAAACAAATGGAGGCCTTCACTTTAAAAGGATATCACTAGAAGAGACTCTAGCTAAGGCTGGGTTGCCCAAAGATTTGCCTTTGAGTCAATTTTTGGCTGATAATTTGCGCAGTCTTGGTATTTTGCCCATTGCAGATTGTGAAGATCGGTCTTTAGATATGGTTGAATTGCAACCTCTCTTCCCCAAACAAAAGAACTCGGCAAGATTGCGACTCGTAGAGGAGGACGAGAACGACGGAGTCACTTCAAGTTTATCTTTGTGTTACAAAATCTTTATTGCCCCCGTTTATGATTTTCTTGAGGAGCCTGAAGTCATTATTGTTCCTGACCGCAGTTTATACAAAGTTCCCTTTGCTGCCCTGAGTGAAAAAGAGGGAGCCGAATACATGTTGGAGACCCATAGGATCCGTGTCATTCCTTCTTTGACAACACTCAAGATCATTCAAGATAGTCCAGAGGACTATCACAGCAACACTGGAGCCTTGATAATAGGCAATCCCAAGGTTGATTGGCTGCTGCCATTGCCAGGTGCAAGAAAGGAAGCGGAGATGGTTGGACGACTGGTGGGTGTTCCGCCTCTGGTAGAGGAGAAAGCAACGAAGCAGGCGGTGCTTGAGCGGATAGGTTCAGTGAGCCTGATACATTTTGCTGCCCATGGTAACGCCGAAAGGGGAGAAATTGCCCTCTCCCCCATTCCTATTTCCAACAGTCAAAATGCTATCCCACCACAGGAAGCTTACATGTTGACGATGGCTGATGTCTCACGAGTGAAAGTCAGAGCTAAACTGGTGGTACTTAGCTGCTGTCACAGTGGAAGTGGACGGAAAAGAGCCGAGGGAGTTATAGGAATTGCCCGTGCGTTCTTAGAATCTGGTGCTCGCTCGGTGTTAGTTGCGCTGTGGGCCATACCAGACTTAGCAACGGAGCAGCTGATGAATCGGTTCTACAAACACCTTGTTGAAGGAGAAAGTGCCAGTGAATCCCTTCATCAGGCCATGAGGTGGATGAGAAAAAACGGCTTTACCAAAGTGTCTGAGTGGGCTTCGTTTACGCTGATTGGAGATGATGTGAGGCTCGAGTTTGAGAAGCAGAGGTAAGACTCGGTGAGAACAGGTATTTTATAAGCTAAATTAGATGTGAAGGTGTTTATGACTTACTGGTCGCTGACTCTTGGCGGGGATCCTTTGTTACCTTGAATACCAAGGCTAGTTTTATACCTTATTTTTTTGTTTCTTTCTAAGAGTAACAATTGATTCTCTCAGATTGATGTAAAATATAATCTTGAAAGCGTCTCTCTGCCAATCAGATACAAGTGTACATTTGCCCACATATTGCGCCTGGTATAACTGTATTTGCTTTATTTAAGAAATGTTGATTATGTTATTTATAATTGTTTTTCTTTTTTTTTACGTTTGTTATAGGAAAGAGGATGAGAATATCTCGAATGAAAAAGACCTTAGAGACTTGTAGCTGGATAAACAAATAGAATAAGTAGAGAAAATACTCTATCCGTTATTTTATTGTGTAATTTAAGAATAGGCAATCTTCAATTAAGCATATTATAATTTTTTGCGTTTTTTTTCGATCTTCTCAGCGGGAGGTATTAGTTACGTATTCGAGGAAGATTTTATTCTGCACAAAAATTATCCTATCCGGCCGATATAATTAGCACGAAACATTATTGACGTAGGGCTCTTAAGTGAAGTGAAATCAGGAAAGTCAAAACAGTAGTTTAAGCATCAAAAATGAGCCAGTTAAGTCTTACAGGGTTTTCTCTCAAAGCTTTAAATTTTGTTATAGGTTTCGTTGACAGAATCCTAAATTTTTGACAAAAAATCTTAACAGAAACCTTTCCTTATGGTCATTTCCAGTACTACTTCTTAGTGCTTAAAAGGCTAAAAAATACATGGATTTCTAAATAGGACCATGGAAAAAGCTATCAAAGTCAAGAATGGTATTACCATAAAGAGGGAAAGTTACGGCAGTAATATTTTGCAACTGGTTCAACAGTTCAGTTACGCATTGTAATGTTTGAGATGTTGTAATGTTTGCATGGTGATCTGATCGTTTTCAAGTCAGGTTGTTATCAAAATGTTGATTTGGGAATAAAAATATTCTTATTTTTACCACACTTTTATAAAATCCTTTTTTGGGAAACTTTCTCAAGGGATTATGTAGTAATTCCAAAGACGCTAAAATAAAAGACAGCTTGAGAGAAATCTTAGAAAATATCGCGAGCGTTTTTTTTAACCAGGTTACAGAGTAAAACAGATAGCACTGTTGTTCATTGTTAAGGCGGCAAGGTGGTGGGATAATGGATGCAAGTGGTAGGAGTGTCTGCATGCGGTCCACTGAAGCTTTCCTGCGCAGAAAACATCAACAAACGCTATGATCGCAAGAAAGTTGTTTTGTTTCTCAATGCTTTTCACTGCATTTCTTTGATCGTTTTTTTCACCTTAGGTGAGTGAAAAAAATCAGAACACTAGAAATGAAATTTCCAGAGGTCAAAATTTAAGAGTGTGTCCACGAGAACACCAGACAGTCGTGCTACATGCCATCTCACCGACTTCAATGAAACTTTGCCAGTTTAAAACTTTGCTTCAGTTGAAAAGAGAGAAGTTATTTATTTAAGCAAGCTTATTCAGCCTACTTTTAAAACTCCTGGATGAAGTCTGCTATTGTCAGACGTAACGCATGAGGGATAAATACAAGTTTTTATTTTCTCAGTTCGAACAGAGGAACTCGCTAGTTTGTTCCGTCAAAAAAAAACCCTTTAATATAAAGTCACGTCGACCTCGTAAAAAAAATTAGACTCACCCTGTCATAGTCACTGGTTTGATACCATAGGTATTTAATTACGATACATCATTGCGCTTTGATCACAGCAGTGAAAATGTGCCTTTCCTCACGCTCGCCACATTTATTACCAGTTGTAATCATTGATTATGAAGTACGTTCGTGGTGGAGATTGAAGGTTTTCTTTGGTTTTCGTACTAACGCAAGCTTTGTACGAAGCGGGGAACGAATGGTTGGGTACCCATTATGCGGTTTGACTTAAACAAGTTTAAATAAGAGGGAAACGTCTGCAGAGGAGTTGAAGGCTAAGTGGAAATATTGTACAGTAAAGAGGCCGATGATGTTAGGAGCTGAACAAGACTTTATTGCCTGCAAAAACCGCCACTCAACTTGCCGCCTGTGACTTCGTTGTGACATGGCCACCAAGGAAAGATCGGCGTGAAGTGCTTTATTGTTCCCGAAAGAACACAACTCGTTTGAAATAATTTTCCTAATGTTCCAGAAGTAACGCAAACTTCCCTCAGGCTTGGATAATGGATAAAATTTAGCTATAAAAGTCTGAAAAAACAGTTAGGCTTACCTCAAACGCGAGAAAGTACCGCTTTTACTCTTCTTCCAGTTAAACTACTCACCACAAGGTGTGTATTTGTGCATCGGAATGTGACGTGGACAAAACGAGGTAGATTATTCAAGGTAGCGCTGAAAATGCCGACGTACGACGAAAATGAATACCACATAAGATCAGCCTTGAGTAACACAGGAATCCCAACTGAGTACCACAGGACTATGGGTTGCGTTCTCCTTATGTCGAACGCAATTACATTTGGAAAATTAATTCACTCGAGGGTGAGGTCACTGGTTGGCAAGTCTTGACTCTAGCGGACGATAGTTCTCAACGAGCGGCGAGGTAACTTCCCTATTGAACCATGAAATTCTTGCCAAATGTTATAAAAACTTTGTCTTCCCTTGGTTTGCAGGCAAAAAAAAAAGACAAATTTTGTCCCTCTCGCAACAGCCCAACAGATAGTATTGATCCTATGTAGCATATTATATCAACTGTATTGCGTCCTCATAGTGATGTTACATAAGTGAGCGAGCGTCTAAAAAGCCCTCAATCCAAGATGGCGCAGTTGTCTTGTTTATTTGCAACTAACTGTAGAGCCCAATGTTATTTTTTCTCGCGCTGGGCAGGAGGGCTTTGAACAGCTTATACCCCTAATTCGTGGGTGTACAGCATAAAAGAGCGCTTGAGAGACGTTCATGTATTACAAACATACGTTTTGTCCGAGAAGCTTACTCTAGCTAATATTGGCTTATTTGGAGATTACGAAAGCCACGATTTCACGATTTGCCCCAAATATTGTGCACAGGTAGGTGTGAGATTCAGTCCTTCGAGTTTGTACATGCCAGTAACCTCCTCATAAAAATCGGAGGCGGAGCGTTGAGAGAGAGGTAAATCTTAAGATGGCAGAAGAAATCAAAACTGGTGACGAGTCTTCCAGGTGACAAGGTGACTGTAAACCTAATAGAACGCATACTGTGACTGTTATCCTAAAGTCAATGAATAAGGAAGAAAGGCAAGAGGGGCGCTTATCTGAACATCAATTTTCCTAACTGGTGAGTGGTGACTGCGATGAACTTTATATCATATGATTCCTAGGGATATGCAGATACTTTAGAGGCGCTCACATAAACAGTTTGGCGGCGGAAGGTCCTCCCTCTGACTTTGGAACTGCGACAAGTTTATAGCGCAGACTAGCTGACATAGTTTGGAGCACCTCAAGGCCTCACTGGGATCATCACACTAGAAACCTTCAGCAAACTAATCGTAGAAGAGGGTTGTTGTCAGCAACGTGCACAGATCTCTTAACCCGGGCCATCGCGAGAACTACTCAATCAGTCACAGACAGAACAAGAGAGCGAGATACTCTTGTCAAGAGGAAGGATGTATCAAAACGTGACAGTCGTATTTAATGCCTTCCAAAAGCACCTTAACATAGACAGACACAAATTGAAGCTGACAAAAGAATCTGCCTTTGATGAGATCAAGAGGAAATAGACGGAGGCTTGCCAATCTGTAGGGGGTGGCTACGTTCAAGGTCGGACTTCGGGCAAAAATTCTGACGAACAATCCTTTATTAGCCAGGTGCACGGCTTTGGATGGGCCCTTTGAAAAAGACCAAAAGCAAATGCCTTTTCTTAGAAAGGAAACTACATGATAAGAAGTCAACCGCCTCTAATATGGCTTCCCAAATGTGGAGTTTAAGAGACGAAACCGTCCAGAAATGTTGTATAGGATAGACTGGTTGATAGAGCAGCAGACCACTTGATACTTCAGCCGACTATCTGCCCTAACAAAAGCTGGTTTATTGAAGAGGTTCTCCTCTGTAAGCATGAATAAGGACGAAGAAGTTGATGCCGATGATCTAGTTTCAGAAACTGACCGAACAAGGCAGAAGCAGGAGCCCATTACCCGGAGCCTCCATACCAATTGTACCCTTGAGTCAACCTTGTCCCGTATCTTTTTATTTTTTAGAACTGAGATATGTGGGGTTCTTTAATTTCCCGCGAAAACACGCTGACTTTCCGCGCTTGTCGCCATTATTGAAATACTTTCGTGCGACCTTCTGTGACGTAAACAATAGATGACCACAGGTCTCTTATGATTGGCTACAATGTAAACACCCACGAAAAACCCGTGGGAGGTGCTTCTAAAAACAAAAAGATACGGGACAGGGTTGGCTCAGAGGGGTGAGAGATGAAAGCTCTGTGTAGTGGGCTCCTGGCAGAAGATCAGAAGGGACCATGAAAAATTTAGACGAAGACTGCAAGGGAGGGTACAGCTGCCATAGGATACAAAAAATACCGACCTTTGCAAGTTTTCTTTACCCATGTCAAGTACGTCATGTCTGGGGAATTTTTATGGATATTACTTGCCATAACATGAGTTGCGGTAAGCCAACTGGTCAAAATATTGCTGGCTCATTCTTTGAGTCACGCAGTGAACGTCGGCAACACTCGATCGAGAGAGATTCAGATTTACATGAAGATATGGAATGTTTGAAGAAAAAAGGAAAATATTTTACGATTGAAGTAAGCAAATACACATAGAGATCTGCAGAATATTTTGAAATTTTTATCTAACAGACAGCATGAACGACGAAAAGTATTCGTGTCACGATGTACATCGTGATGTACTGTACGTGTTAGTTTTGGCGGAGTTCTGCATGGAAGTGTTCGATGGCGGTAAGTGTCAACGACACTATTTTAGTTTTATCTCTGGAATAGTAGCACAGTTTTTGAATTTAAAAGGGCTATTGGTATTTTCTCTCAAGCAAGAGGGCAGAATTTCGTGGCTTTAAAAGCCCGAGTTGTTGCACAGGGAGCTTGTATGTTAAACAACATTCAGCCTGTGACTTCGGAATCTCCTAAAATGAGCGGTAAACAAATCATAGATTAATGAATGTTTTGTGCCGTACAAAAGCCATATTTGCTGATTTTAGCAAATCTCCAAAGTAATAAACGAGAGAAGAAATAAACACTACGATTTTCCATCAACATTTCGCAACATTCAACGCATCTCTCTTAACGTGAAATTTATTTACATTTCTTAGCTTCCTTGGTCAATCGTCATGTATAACGAGCTATAGCATATATAGGTTTAATAGCCCAAGTGACCGCTTAGAGCCAGAATTCGGTGACAGGTGTAGTTGATAGAAGCTTGTCATAGTAGCAGATTTTAAAAGGCATCCATGACAAAAATACGGCAGTGCCCTAAGAATTCTTTGATGTTTTTCAGAGATGAAATGGTGGATTATAAAGGGTAATTAAAATAAGTGTCATAGCTTTCTGGCAAGGAGAGATAGTTGACCTCAAAGTTATCAAATATTGGATGAATCGAAAAGTCTAAAAACACAGTCATTTATTTGCCTCTTTTGATCGACAAGCCATCAATTGAATTGACTGATATTTGCGTCATATATTCATTATTGGCTTTTCGTATCCTACTTCCAGCTTTGTCTCCTACATCTAAAAGCTGATAATAGCTGCTTAGAAGCCTGTTGATGTAGTCTGTACCAATAGTATAAAAAATGCTATTTTGTTTTACTGAGAAAGAAATGCAAAATTCCTCAAAAACCCTAAAGCTGCAAACATATTTGACAATTAACAATCTATTCTTGCCCAGTAATTAGAGTGAAGATTTTTTTCTTTTTGTTTTAATAGAGGGAGCTGGGTTTTTGATCGACATGTCCCAATCAATGAAGTTTTAGTCAGATACAGAATATTTTGGTAAAAATTATAAAGATACAGCAGGATACTTGAAGAAAAATTCAACAGAATGGAAAATATATAAAAAAAGATGATTGCAGAATATCTAATTGGAACTATAGGGATACAAACTGCAGGAATTAATGAAATACAGGATAGTTAGCCAATAGTTCATAGGAAGTGGGATACTCAGACAAACTAATTTTACTTAAAAACCTGCAAATAATACATTCCGGCCTACAATCGAACCTGTTTTAAGCAGTTTTTTTGTATTGTCCTCCACCTGACACAAGACATACATTCAGTAAAATTCGAAACACTGCAATCAACAATCCATAATGTAATTGGTGCATTTTAACTCGTTACAAAAACATTTTTTGTTTGTATAAATTGTATGTAAACATAACATCTCTACCGATCAACCTATCAATGATGAATTACATGATATGCAACAAATATGCTTGCTGATAATTTCACTGATAACCTAATTGTATATATATATTTTTTTCAGAATTTCAACACATTACAGAGTGGATGTATTTGAATGGTACCAGGGTGTCAGCCCAACTGCCAATCAAGTTGCATGTAGGTATACATATACATCACAAATTACAAATTTCATTCCTGTTCTAAAGATACAACTTGTCCATATATACAAATATATCTGATTGTATTAGCAAAAACATGCCCATTATGTTGCAAGATTGACATTTGAGTTCATGCTCTTCCAGACCTTGACAGTGGCTGGAAGCTTATTGAACATCCGAAAGAGCAGGCTAAGGAGAGCCTGCAAAAACCTGATTTTTAGGTTTTGGCTTAAGGTGGGCATTACCTGCCTTCAAGCCTGGTTAAAGAAAATGCAAGGGATTGAATGTTTAAGCTAGTGCCTGCATGTAGCCTGGCCACCAAACAATCCAAAGGTGACTTGCAAATGACTCTGTATGGAAACCTCAGGGGGTGGGAGGGTAGATTTTTTAAACCCTTTGGTTGACTGGCATTTTTCTCCAAGGCTAGAAAACACTTGTCTTATTCCTTATGGTTAAAACCCTGCATTGCAAAACTGGTAATCAGCCTTGCAACTGTCACACTTCAACCACTGAAAAGGGGGGCATGGGGATGTTTGGTTTTGCAGTTTTTAACAGAACCCAATGCCCTCCTCACTGAGCTAACACTCCATGGCTGGAGGGTGGTTGGGTGTCAAAAGCATGCCTTTGGAAAAGAGAGCTCAATTGACATTGCAAGGTTTCATTGCTTGAAAGCTGGCATTGCCCACCTTTAAATGAGCCTGGCCAAAAAAAGTGCAGAGGGCTTAACATTAACTGAGGCTAGTAACCAAATGCAACCCAGCCACCAACCTTCTTGAGGGTGGGTTGCAAATGGCTTTATGTGTAAAGTGGGTAAAGAAGGTATTTGACTTACAAATTATGGGGAATTTGTTTTTTGCACAAGTGGACATCTTGGTTGAGTTGTTATGAGGCTGGATTTGTTTTGATTACTTTGTCCATAAATTCAGAGTCAGACTCATACTTCATTGCATCACTTCTCATGCACTTAATCATTTTGGCTGGGGGTGGGGTGGGGTGGGGTGGGGTGGGGTGTATATACATATACACCTCTTTTGAAATGTTGCCATTTGAAAAAAATACATGAAATATATATATCTTTTGTTTTCTTATCAAGAAGTGTTTCTTTTTCTATGTTTACAATAATAATGAACTATGTAATATGCCACATGAATATGGTCGTCAATTACGATATCAGTGACTACATATTTCTATTACTTTTGTACAGAATTTGTAACAAATATTAGATCACAAAATTGAAATGCAACAATTGCAAGGCAGAGGTAATTTGCACCAATAAATTCAAAACTTTAAAATCCCCTTTTCACCATGGGGCAACTTAGAAGAAGAGGAAAAATTCTCTAATTATACATCTCAAATTAACTTTCTAATGATTAAATGCTCTATGTAAAATGCCACAAATATGATTGTCCATTTTATTATTACTGACTGCATATTTCTCACATTTTGTTACAAAACAATTATGTTACAAGTTATATGCAAGAAAATAGCAATCCTGGTTTGTCAGAGAATTTTGTATTTGATCAATTAATTATGCTGTAATTGATGTTTTATTTGAGTTCCTTAATCATCTTTTTGACAGTGAATTGCTATCACTGATAGTGCTATTACTTTTTTACAGAATCTGCTACCAATGTTGTAGCACAAGTGAACACCAAACAACTAGCAGATAGGAACAGAGGTAATGCACTAATGAATTCAAACCTTTAAAACCCCCCTTTCAACCTGGGGCAACTCAGATAAAAAGGTCTGCAAATTCTAGCATATAATGATTAAAACATTAGTCAAGATGGAAAGTCGTTTAATTATGCCTAAAATGTGAACCACAAGTGCTAAAACCCACTTATTACTGCTAGCACAAATAATTATTGCTGCATTATTTTGTTAATAAATTTATTTGTCATTCTCATGAACCCTAATCACATGTGTTGTTGCATCAATCAATTAAAAATGCTTACTATAAATCACCAGTACAGCGAAACAGAAAAATAGCACTAACTATCAATTGTTTTTTTTTTTTAGTATGATCAATAACTTAAATCTTTAATGCTTGTATTATTTTTAAAATACAGCAACTGTATGACATGTTGACATCGATTTTTTTTGGCACAAAATGCTCCTGGCCTAGCAAATGTCAATGACTAGAATGTCATAATCACTGATTTTGCCTTTTACAAAAATTGTCTATTAAATCAAACACTTTGAGTCAGGAATTTGAACAATACTTTGGCCCCAGGAACAAACTAATCCTCAAAATGGTTGGCAGTTGCTGTGATAGGGGGAAAAATTGACAGACACATATTTATGTACCATACCCAGCCTATGAAATTTGATCAAATCTTATCAATCCTAACAGAATGAGCATACATTTTTTAATTCATAGTTCCTTACTTGCACAGAACACAGAACATCCATTCGTCCATCAGTGATTTATCTTCTTATACTCACCATATCAACTGTTTGTGAAAATATTTCTGTTCAAACATTTTAGACGCCATATGCCACAGACAGCATAGAATCTTGAGAGAAGGTAAGTGAATTCTCTTTTAAATATTTCTTCTACACAATATAAGTTTGACTAACTGCATCAAAATTACAAAAAACATGTCAGGACTCACTAGTGTTGACATTGTACTAGCCATTATACTACCACTGACCAAGCAATTAATATGTTAAAAAATACCTTGTTGTTTAAAAAATCATGCACATTTCAATATTTTGCAAAAGTTTCTCTTCAAAACTAAAGTTAAAAATATAGAAATTTTTAGTTTGACTTGAAAAACATATATATAATATTTTAAAATAAATAAATCCCTTCAAGGTCTCATTTATCCTTTATCTGAAAACTTTTAAAAATTTATCTTTTTCATTCATTACCCCCTACACAACAGGTCATTTCACAACCTGTGGTACAGATCTTAACCCCTAAACTCCTAAGATCTCATTAGAAATTCTCCTTACTGTCTGCCATACAGTTCTTGTGATGTTAGTTTGGAGAATTTGGTATTAGATCAACTAATTATCCCCTGATCAATATTTGTCTTTATTCTCATTACTTGTCTGCTTTGTATTGCATTGATATTGTAAGGAGAAACTGTGTCTTGGTCACTGGATCATGGGAGTTAAAGGGTGAACAAAATTCAAGTTTCCTCTGTAGATCTTGTCAACTACAAGTATTTAACCTTGGGGGATCACATCATTTTAGTGACAAATTATCTCCTATATTTCACAGAACTCACAACAAAAGAAAGGCTTTGTTGACCACATGTTGGAGGTGTGCAATTAAGAGGTAACATTTCAGTCCATGTAGTTTACAATTTAAATTAATCACAGCTATAATTAGACAGTCAAGAAAAGCAATTACCATTGACAGTCAAAACACAAACAAAACTTTATATTTACTCACAAGAGCAATAATCATGCAGGTGTGTGAAATTTTAATGTGCACTTTAAAGATCATTTACTCCTTCTGATGCACTCCTTCTGTTAATGACTTCTTTTCCCACAGTTTGCCACATCAAATATTGAAAAAGTTTCAACAACGTCTGATGAAAATGATGCGAAAGATGAATAAACAGGTAAGATTCTGTTTCATTCTCTTCCTAGTATACTCTTCCATACCATCATGTACTGAGCTTCATATATCCATGTAACTGAAGATAGCTTGATCTTTTGTCTTCTTTATACTTTTATGAGTAAGTTCTGTGTGAGTATTGTGATGATCCTAAAATCCAACAGTTACATAAATATTGTAAATAAAATCTATCAAATGCTGCATATTATGTTAATAGCATAACTTGTACATAAATTTGCAACCTGATACAGCCTAAACATGACCAAAAAAGGGCAGGAAAGGAGCTGCACAACACTGAGATCAGTTGATAAGTCAACAATGCATTCAATTTCAGAACCATTAACAAATTGTGACAGTCATGACAACCCATGTTTTTTTTAAATAAAATGTTATCTTGTTAATAAAATATTACTCTCAAAACTGGCTGTCACTTGAATGAAATAACATATTAGTCACACCACAGGCATCCCAAGCTCATGTCTTGAGAAAAAGGAAACAATTAATCAATGAAAGTATCACATATTGTGTGACTCGGTGTTAAGTTACAAGAGGAACCATTGAGAATTTGAACATGTTATAAGGAATAGTATGGGGAACAAAATTTCATCCATCTATAAGATGAAATCAAGGCTGCACGCTAGGATTTTAACCATTGTCCATGCAGAGGCAGTTTGCACCCTGAAAATCCTCCCAATCAGCATTTTTCTCAGTCAAAGGTATAACAGGAATAACAGTGATAGTAAAGCATGCTTAAAATGGCACAGATTGCCAGACACACAAGATGTCAGTAAGTTCTATTGATTTTGTGTTAAATGTTCATAGTTCAAATTATTTATCTTTGTAAATCAACCATATTTCATTTCCCTTACAATTCCTTATAATTCAAATAAGTAAAGATTTGGTAAAGCATTTGACAATAAAAATCTGCGATAAAATATTATAAAGCATAACACGACGTTTCGACGTTTCCAGAACGTCATTATCAAGTGAACTAAAATAATAAAATCGAGTATATATATAATGAAGTGGTGAATAAATTACAAAGTGTTAAAAGTTAAACAAAGAGTTTGGCCCTAATGGAATCGCTCTGGGTGTTTAAATTGGGCCTTATTGTTCTTATGTACAACATTTCATAAACAAGACAATCCCATTTCGTGCCACATTTTTTAAGCATTCTAAACTGGCTCTCATTGAATAAGTCAATGCTTGGGACGCCTGTGGTCACACAACAAAGTTTCTGTCAATTTCACGAAGAGTTGTTTTGAATTACAAATTTAAATAGTTGTTCAATCTGAAAAAGGATGTAGTTGAGACCTATCAAATGAGTGCAAAAATTACATTAAAAATTTGTATTAAGGTAAAGGTTTGAGTATGTACAATTTACATGATTGAAAAACATTGACAGAAACACTAGTGTTAACACAAAATGTGATACACAATTTTTTAAATAATAGCCAAGAATACAAGTTCAGTGGTAATTAACCCTTTGACCCCAAAGAGTGACTGGCATCTAATTTCTCCTTACACTGTCATCCCTAAATCACACATTAAACCTTTAACTCCTAAGATCTCATTAGTAATTCTAGTTACTGTCTGTCATACATTTCTTTCTCTTGATGTTAGTTTGGAGAATTTGGTATTGGATCAACCTATTAAATCCCCTAATTGATATTAATTTTTTTTTATTCTTGTCACTTGTCTGCTTGATATTGTATTGAAATTGTAAGGAGAAATTCTGTCCTGGTCATTCATGTGAGTCAAAGGGTTATGGTTATGAGACTAAAGGAAATGATCACCAACTCTTAATACATGTAAGCTCTTGATCAAAAAACAAATTCTCCTTATTAGCATCTTAGGACATCTACTTTTATCAAGAGAACAGTATGGAGAATATACATACTGATGTTAGGGTGTAAAGGATTAAAGAAACAAAAAAATCAATTATACGGCATTAGATTGATTATCCGACCAATCATCATTTTTATTGAAACAATTCACCCAGTGCATTCAATGTCATTTTAATCCTTTAACTCCTAAGATTGCATAAATAATTCTCCCATACAGTTCTTTTGATGTTAGTTTGGATAATTTGGTATTGAATCAGCTTATAATCCCTTAACTGATATTTTTCTTTATTCTCATCACTTGTCTGCTTGATATTGTATTGATATTGTAGGGAGAAATTCTGTCTTGGTCACTCATTGGAGTTGGAGAGATTATCAAGAATCATGCCTTGATGTGCTTCAGTTTTTTGTGATTACATGGATAATCACTGCTTTCTTGAACAAGTGGACTGTTCAATTTTGCGAGAAAGACAAATCTTATTTGGTAACTTTTGTAGCTGAATGCTGGTCAACATTCAAATGCGAACAAAATGGATATTACTATTTTTGTTCCTTTGCAAATTTGCAAATATGAATGTAAACTAATAATTAAATAACACTGTCAATTGTCACTATCACTTAATTCCTGAAACTCTAGCACCAACTTGCACAAATGCAGAGTAAGTTGAGTATTAACTATCAATCCATTAGAACAACTGCATCTTTTAAAATCACATTTCATATGACTCATCGTTTCAAATTCAATTTTGAATGGTTACCTAAGGTTCATAATGTACAAAAATCCACCAGCAATTTGTAAAAAACGAAATTTTGGCCGAAAAACATTTAAAAATTAGTCATTCTAAATTATCGAATGTTGAGAAATATATAAATTATGTAGGTTTTGCATTTATTGACCTGTAAAGGAAAGGTTCATATTTTAAACATTTATATTTAAGAACATCAGCACTTTCCATTTATTTTAGTGTATCGCTGTATTTGACAAGTTAATCAATAAACAACTTTTTCATTATTTAAATGACTTGTATGGCCAAATTAAGGCAAGATTTTTCTAGTATTATTACTTCTCATCTCCTGTGACGGTTCTTATCTTATCTTATCTTATCGACGGAAAGCAGTTTTCACATCTTAACAAGAAAAGCGCCAACTTACGTTTCCACGTCCTCGCGGAAATATTTCAGACATGAGCACAAATACATATTCCAGGCCTGCCGTACTGAATCGTTGTCCTAAATTCTACAGATAAAAGTGAAAAGGATTAATGAAATCTGCTTTATGAGCTATTTGGAAAAGATGATAATATGAATAATAACCAGTTCAAAAAGTATATTTACTTATAAAGTTTTCACATTTTAACTGTATACAATACCACTAGCACCTTTGAACTTCCTTGCCTCCCTAACGTACTTAGAATGAGTCTAAATTTCTTAGCTCTTGGCGCTGTAGTTATGGCGTCTTTCCTCGCTTGAAACATGGCATCAATATCGTAATATTCCCTGGAAAACACTTTGCTATAGGGATCGTATCTGCGATGAAAGCGAAAGTACAGGAGAATTTTAGTTCAAAGTTGTTTGTCTCAAAGGCCCAGCAAGGTATGCAATATCTAACAATCCAAAGCGTACAAGGCGGAAGGGGGTCTGTCTTAGTGAGGGCATATGGAAAACTCTAGAACGGACAGGAATCGCAATCTGTCCACACAGACAGTATGCCTTTACTAGAGACAAACAGTTTTGTAATCGAAAAAGTGATGAGTTTTTATTTACAGAATTACAAGAAAGTGGTCTAAAAAAATCAGGCTTCAGTGACGGCTGAATCTGTGCTGCTTCTCTAACTGTTGAGCACTGCAACCAATTGAGTCAATATGAAGTTACATGTTAGGCAAGGCAAGGCAAGGCAAGGAAATTTGTTACACGTAAAGAAATCTGCCTCTTGAAGTTCTCTTTGTGTACCTGTATGCTGGTATAGATGGGTTAGCAATCACGACAGCCTCTAGATAGAACCTTCCACCACCCAAGTAACTGAAAAAAGATAAAATAAAAATAGAATAAACAAGCGTTAAGTTTAAAGGTCATTCCAGGGAAAAAAATTGAAAAAGTACCTGCTATGATCTGTGGCATGTTTGCAATATATAGTTATGTCACGTTTCGAGCGTCAGCCCTTTATTAAAGCGGTTGATGACGCGATTGAATCGCCACCACTGTGATCCTTTCTAAGGCGACTATTTCAAATCTCTGTGGCTTTATACCGTATAATCTATCCTCATTAACTAAGGTTATTGAGTATCGTTCAATTTGAGAAATTGATATTCAGACCTCTATTTATGTTGTGGACTGTCCCTCGCTGATATCATAGGAAATCCGTGGTGCTTCATTACGTGGTTTTCCAGTGGCTATGATCTACATTAGCTATTAACTTGACTTTGGTTTTTGGAGGGTTCAACGAACGATTCAGAGATCGCGGTAGATTCGAATTGAATTTCCGTTATCTTCTTGTACACAAGCGTTTCATGGTCGAGATACCCTTCACTTAAATCTTTGGACACCAGCGACGGGTTCCACGGTATATAATTTTCTTAAGGCCGTAATCTGTTTCGTTGTCTGTTAAAGCGCCAGAGTCTGGCATAAGAAGATAAGTCGTGACGCTGCGCGCTCACGAAGAGAGATGTTTTAATTTTCTTAGAAAAACTGAAACTTTCTTAAATTTACTGTTATTGCATATATAGTTTTAGCGTACTTTTCCGTTGAACGGATGCTTCGTATCTCCACCGGTTAATTGCTTTCTTCAAACCTTTATGGCTTCATACGGTATATTTCAACCTCATCAGCTAAGATTGTTAAGCATTGTATAATTTGGGAAACTGATAGAAGAGAGGTCAATATCTGACACCGCGTGCTCACGTAGAAAGATGTTATAATTCTCTGTAAGGAACTAAAGGAAATTGATCATTCAAAGGCAAAGTTAACATGCCGGCCATCACGCAAACTTTTGTGAATTAGATTTATATCAAACTGTCAGCTAAAGGTTTACTAACAAATGATTTCAGGTGTTTAAAATGAAAGAATCGTGAAGAATGGTTTTAACATCTAAAAAATGTACCCTCAGGATGTTATGAACGTTTGTGTTCTCATCTGAATAACAAAACAGTAACGGTAATTAAACGACTGTGAATATATGAAAGTCATGTATTTAAATCACGGTAATTGTTGTTCAACTGCGGATGTTTTGGAATGTAGGGAAAGTCCCGATTGTGTTTTATTGTTTTTGTCCTTTCACTTTCAAAAGCATCCACTACGAAGTCAACAACTTGGTGAGTACGAGTAGACATGTTAAATACAAGGGTATACAGCTTTCTATCGTCTACAAATGAATTAGTAATAGTCTACTGTTATTCTGAGTAACTTTGCATGGGTAACGTTTTAATGGCAAAGCCTAAAATGAATGCTGTTTTGTTAATATTTGTCCTGTGCCTATCAAGTCATGCAATGTAATGCAAAAATCGCAGCCAAAGTGAAATTTATTTGTTTCAAAGCGACTTCGTTAAACCTTTATGGCTTCACATCTTACCAATCATCCTCATCAACTATGAAAAGGTTTGATTTTAGCGACACTGGCATGATAAGTAAGCTCATTTCTTGGTAATAAACTGCTAGAACAATCTTTTCAAATTTTCCATATTGCAGAATGTCCGGAAAGTTTCCAGAACGCTGTAGTACTGAGGTTTATTATCCAACTGCACAAAGTAGAGAACAAATAACGCGCGAATAGAGTATAAACATCCTACGATATTATACGTGTATTTGGACCGTTGGTTACTTTGTACTGAAAAAAAAACCTGGCTAACCAGTCGGCTGCGCACAATACGCTTCTCTCTCCGCTTTGCTTTTCCCGCCTTATGAGGAATGAGCTGAAAGACTCAGCGGAAAAAAAAAGCAGTTGGATAATAAATAACTTATTGGAGGTTTTGGTGTGTAGTGTCGCTGAGTATTTTTACGAGTTGTGTCCGTATTTGACGAGCTCGTAAGGTGAGTCAAAATACAAACAACGATTTTGTATTATTCATGAACAAGAAATTAGGATGCTTGATCCTAAGGAGTCTCATTACATAAACGTTTTGACGGTCGAAATAAAAGAAAAAAACGAAAAACTAAGAAAAGGGAAACCACATCTTATACTGATAACATTCCTTGCTTGCTTCTTTGAATACTCACGATGAAAAATCATTGATTTTCAAAGTTTGTGTTCTTACCTGAATCACAAAATAGTCGCGGTTAAGGTAAGTCAAGAGGCGGAGGTTTTGGAAAATAAGGAAAAGTCACAACTGTCTTTCATTTAAGTATTTTCTGTCGTTTCACTTTCAAAAGCATCAACCACGAAGTCGACAACTTGGTAAGAACAAGTAAAAAGATATCCAGCATTCTGTCATGTACCAAGTAAATAGCACTAGAATATTGTTATTTAGAGTAATTTTGCATGAGTAACGTTTTAATTAATGGCAAAGCCTGGAATGAATCAGTCCTGTTTTCCCGGTTAATATTTGTCCTGTCACTTTAAAGTACTGTAACGTTGTGTAAAATTCGCCACCGAAGTTAAATGAATTTGTTATAAGGCGATCATATCAAACCTTTGTGGTCTCGCATCTTATTAATGATCCTCATCTGCTAAAAAAATATTCGTTTTCAGGGACATTCATCTGATAAATGCGTTCGTTGCTTTTAAAATGAACAATCTTTGCAATTTTTAAATATTGTGGAATGTCAGGAAAGTTCCAAGTAAACTGTATTTAGAGGTCTATCTGTCTTATTTCAGGCTAAAAATTTAAACGCTTAAAAGTCGGGGAATGCTAACTCGGAATCAGTACTCAAAGTAAAATTATCACTAACTTACATCTGTGACTATCTCTTTTGCACTTTAACAAAACGGTAATGAACCAAAAGAACGATGTTTCAATAAAATCGAGCGAGAGAATTTCCAGTACAAACACTTTGGACGGTACATTATTTAAACTGTCGAATAGTTCTCAAGAAAACTAGAGCAATTTTCTCATTAATCATTCTTGTATTATTCATGAATAAGAAATAAAATTCAGTGATCCTAAGGCTCTGTATTGCAAATACCTTTTGACAGCCGGTATAACAAAATCAATAAACTAAGAATGGAGAAACTAGAACTTATATTTTATTTTTAGTTCGATCACAAATCCTGTTACAAATTCTTAGTAACAATGAAACTTTTTGAAACGACCTCTAAGCTTGATATCAAATGATTTTCAAATATGAATGTAGTTTAACAGGACTTAACTTTATCACTTAAGTAAAATGTGAACAAAGATAGAAAAAACTGAATATTACGACAAAAACTCTTAGAAATTTATTTTTTTGAAAGGTGACCAACGACTTCTCTAAGCTATGGGATATCAACATGATTTTCAAATATGAATGTAGTTTAAGTCAGGCACAACTGTTATTAATCTATCACTTAAGTAAAATGTGAACAAAGATAAACCTAAAAACTGAATATTACGACAAATATGCACTCTTAGAAATTTATTTTTTTGAAATACCGTTCTTTTCAGATCATCATATCCGACTACTTCACTTTTTTTTTGTTTTTATAAACTTGGCGAGTGGATATTGAGAAGGCCCTT